CCCCGCTGCCCTTGGTAGCACTTGTACTCAATATACGCCTGAGTCATTACGACTGATCATCTGTGAGGATGGGACAATTCTCCTGTATGCCCCAGGGCATGCAGAACGGCTTTTATAAGCAGATGTCCCTGCTTGGCCCTAAAAACGTGCAACACCATGCTTACAAAAGCCTAAAGTAAAAAGCGCGCCACCATAGCAGGAGCTGTCGGCATCGACAGCGTCCATGGCGCCACCGTGGACAAAGGATGACTCCTCCCGACCATGGTGAGCGTCAATTCCTTCAAGGGCAAGGATGGAGGAAACTCATGTTCTGGGTGAGAGAGAAGCTGAGATGGCTATGACATCCGCCATGCTCCAAAACGAGCAACGGCATGTGGCGCTTGCTATCTCCAAGTTTGGGCTGCAAGCGCGAGAATGGAAGGAATTTCAAAACGTTTTCTCCAAAGACCCGCCGTCGATCTCCGGGCCAAGGTGTGCGTCATGAGATTGACCTGGTTCCGGGAGCCAAATTCTGCGTGAAACGCCAATGATCCTGCCCAAGGAGCAGTGTGACGTCATTGACGCCTTTTTTCGTGCGAAGCACGACGCAGGAATGGTGCGCAAGAGCAAATCTCCCCTTTTGACACCCACGTGTTGTGTCGGAAGCCGAGCGGCAAGTGGCGTATTGTTCACGCTTACAACAAGCTGAACGATGCCACCATTCAGGCACAGACACTAAATTCTATGGAGGATGTTCTCTAGAACAATATGACTGGTTGTACAAAGTACAGCGCACCCGACTTGGTGGATGAGTATATCCAATCGCTCATGAGAGCGAATGTTATTCCACTGACAGCCTTGTGTACTCCGAGCGAAATGCTCTGGGAGTGGCTGATGATGCTCCAAGAGCTGTCAAATGTACCAGCAACATTTAACCGTTTGTGACGCAGCTGTTCAGGCTCCACCTGGCGTATGCACCGACATACTTCGACGACATCTACGTCCACTGTCGTGCGGGGCACGGGAGGACGGATGAAGAGAACCACATCGTCCATTTGAGAGCGGTGTTCGGTGCATGCGCACGAACAATCGGTATACTAATGCAGATAACTGCATCATTGGCGCTGAAAAAACTCCTTTCTAGGGTGCTTCATTGGGAGCATGGCCTTCGAGCAGATCCCGCTAAGGTCACGGTCATCATGGACTGGTTGTTTTAATTAACCAATAGAACTTGCGCAAGTGTTTTGGCCTCGCCAACTACTTGCACAAGTATACCGCGAATTATGCAATAATGTCCATTGTCGAATATCCTCAAAAAGGATGCAGAATGGTGTTGGGACACCGAGGATAGGGAGGCTTTTGACAGGGTCATAGACAGCAACTTTCATGCACCATTACTGGCGTTGCCAGACCCCGATCGTCTTTTTAGTGTCGCCTGTGACGTTTCGGACTTTGCAATATATTGCAAGCAGACTCTGAGGGGCGAGGTCGGGTAATTGCGTTCGAATCTCGCCAGATAAAGGCTACGGAGATAATACTCCCAGTCCACGAATACACTTGTCAAATTCAGGGTGCACCTTCATGATTCAAAGCCGTTCGTGATCGACACAGATATTGCGTCACTACGCACTGCGACTCAGTCGGCTCTCTTCTCGCAGAGGGTGACCATGTGGCCATTTTTCATCGCAGAATGTAACTTCGAGGTAATGGATCAACCAGGGAGCAGAATGCTTTGGCTTATGTGCTGTCGCGCAGATCAGAGTATAGCTTTCTCGTGTGACTACGGTGACGTAGTCGGTGACGGACTCGATCCGCGCCAAATACGCGGGTGAAGGTATGTGTGTAGCGCTGCTACAAGCTTTCGGGAGAAGGAGTTTGGAAACTCGAACAAGAAATTGTCGTCGCGACTGTGTACACGGTTGCACCGATAATCGTTGAATAACGTGTTTGCTGTATAATAGCATCGATTCAACGGGTATACCACGAATTGTGGTTCCTCACTTTGAGGATTTGAGGTACCGTGTCCTCTATTAGGCCCACGAAAGGTCATTTTGGTTGGGAGAAGACGTACAGCTCGGCTAGTGGGCACTACTGGTAGCCCAAGCCGCACAAATGGACGAGCGGATATGTGCGCACGTGTGAGACGTGTCAGAGGGTAAAACCCTCTCCGATTGCGGCGGCGCTGCTGGTAAGTTTACCGATACCCTCCTGGTGTTGGCAGTCCGTGGGTATGGACTTTGTGTCTGGCCTGCCGAAGGACTCACGGGCAACACGGCAGTGGTGGTCGTTTTGGGCCGTTTGAGCACGATTGCCCATCTTGCGGCAGTCCATCGACGGTGTCGATACAGCGACGCGGTTTGTCGATCGTGTCTTTTCACAGCATGGACTCTCGATGTCAATTGTGTCTGATAGAGACTCGCGCTTCACTGGGTAGTTTAGGTCTACAATCTTCAAGGTGCTGGGCACCTATCTGGATATGTCAACAGCAAACCATCCGCAGGTTGATTGTCAAACTGAGTGCCTGAATCGCGTCGTCAAAGACGTCCTTTTCAGCGTCTGCAATAAAGACGCACACCTCGATCCGGAGTTTGGACTGATGGCGGGTCTTTGGAATAGACCTCTTGAAACACCTTCACCAAAGCGTTTTATGAATCCAAAAGATTTTTCAGGATTGATGATCCACTTCGTGCGCTTAGCACAATCTTGGTGTCCCCCAGGTGAGCTTCATCCAGAAGCGACGACGAGTTGATTGACGCTTCCGGTCGTAAATTAAACAACTTCAAATGATTTGTCTACCTTCAAGGCACCGCCGAACTTTTCGAAGGACATTACGTTCAGCTCAAGAAGAGATTTCACCACAGGAATAGCCTCGAGGATGACGTCGCCGTCTTCATTCCCCCGTCGTACCGCTGACGAGGGTGTACTGCTGCAGCTATCGTCTTCGTTAGGCACACCCTGGGTCAGGTCGACGCCCTGCGTCTTGCATATAACATACGGCATTGCCCTCTCCTCTCTAGAGATTACGTCTCATCGAGACCAGTGAGAGCACGCACTCAGCGTCGTCTATTGTCCTCACCCCCTGTTCCACCGGAGCTTTGATGTCATTAATAACACTCGTCGATGAGCTGCTATCTCCGCAGTCTTCGTCCAGTAGATAACGTGCCGCTTCATGCGCTTCAGGAAGATGCCTCGGACCTCGTCTGATCATGCCATTCTTGGTATGCAACAACTGCTTCGAAACATCAGCAGTACTTAGTGGATTATGCGCCACTCCACGCGCATTACCAAGGTCTCGCTCTCGATGCCTCGGACCATGCCACTCATGGCATGCAGCGACTGCTTTAATACTTGAGCAGTGCTCATGCCACTCCACGTGTATCACGGAAGCCTCACCCTTGATGCCTCGGCCGTTGGCCGACCATGCCACTATTAGGAAGCAGCGACTGCTTGGATACTTGAGCAGTGTTCAGTGGGATACGCACCACTCCACGGTCAGCCCGCGAACGATGCTCGGGACTCTCGTCTGATATACCTTCGTCGTTCGACAACTCACATACTCCGATACCCAGCACATTGACGGTACCCAAAAGCACTTCTGTTTCCTATCAGAGGTGGGTTATGACTCACCAAAGCTCAACCAGGAGACGTTCGCGTAGCGCTTAAGGTCTTTGACCTCCACTCGATCCATGGTTAATGGTGTGTCAACCATGCCATACCAAGGATAAAGTCATTCCTTGAATCCGAGTCTCAGACTAAGCAGTGTTTCACGCTATCGAAGTCAATAATCTAGACACCGAGGTTAGCAGGGACCCTCGGTATAGTGTCACAAGCCTACGTCGCTAAGCGAACAGTGACGGTGTCACTTAGCCTCGGACAACCAGTTCGAAGTTGACGGGTGCCTCCATAGATAAAACACCGTCATGTGTTTAAAACCTCTCTTCAGCTCAGCTCTCTCCCTCCTCTTTATTCGCATAGCTGAGGTCCATTGGCCCGCTCGACGAGACCTGAGGGTGTGCATCCACTCAAATTCAATTTGGCATTCAATACCACGTTCACCGCTGCTTCAAAATAAGACGGATGCGAACGGAAGACTTCCGTTCTGGACACGCCAGTGCAGAGGTCCTGTATAAAGACTGTAACTGTGACCGCTCCGGGGAGAGAATCGGCCGCCTTCCCGGCGACAAGAGTTCGCAACTCTTAGACAAAGTCCACCAACTCTTTCTTGCCCTGTCAGGCGGCAAGAAAATGCAATCGCACGCGATATGCCTGATTAGGCGGCGAGAACACTCGCAAAAGCTGCAGCTTCAGCTCATGAGGGAGACGCGGCTTCAACCGAAGTATCGCACGCCAGTGCCCATTCTCGCTCTCGGGAACCGAGCTTGAATGTAGCTAGCGACACGCGCTATTCCTCGTTGCGAAGCATGGCGGATGTCATAGCCATCTCAGCTTCTCTCTCACCCAGAACATGAGTGTCTCTCCCTCCTTGCCCTTGAGGGTCTTGACGCTCACCATGGTCGGGAGGAATCATCGGTTGTCGACGGTGGCGTCATGGACGCTGTCGATGCCGACAGCTCCTGCTATGGGGGCGCGCTTTTTGCTTTGGGTCTTTGTAAGCATGGTGTTGCACGCCCTTAGGGCCAAGCAAGGACATCTGCATATAAAAGCCGTCCTGCATGCCCTGGGGCATACAGGAGAATTGCCCCATCCTCACAGAG